CTCTGTAAATCTTCACCCAAATCCTAAAAAAAAAAAAAAAAAAGAATGTCTGTGTGTATAATACAGCTGATGAGGGACAAGGTTGTGGTGACGTCTTGGCCACAGTCAGCTACCCTGAGGGAGTGAGTAGTTGAACCTGTGGACTTGGGACCATGGTCCTGGGGAACATCAAGCTCAATTGGCATAACATCCTACATAAAAACATCGTTCTACATCCTACTTTGGTGAGTAGTGACTGGGGTACTAAAAGCTAACAAGTGGCCATCTAGTAGTGACGATGGGTCTCTTCTCATCCAGAGCAAAGAAGAATGAAGAAAAGCAAAGACACATGGAAACAATTAGTTCAAGGGACTGATAGACCATATGATCCTCAGGCTTTATGATGATGAGACCAAAAGAACTAGATGGTGCCCAGCTACCACTGTAAACCACCTGGAGGGGGATTGGTGCAGGAGATCTTGGGTAGAGTGGGAGAACAATGTGCAGCAAAACTGGTGAAGCTCCTGGGACAGTGGCCCCTAGTTACCGTCCACTCCTGAACTCGTACCCAGTGGGATGAAGCACTGCCTGGCTCTGCATCATCCCCGCGATCGTCCGCTGTGATCCATAGGGTTTTCACTGGCTGGTTTTCCAGGCCTTTCTTCTTCATCCATCTTAGTCGGGAAGCTCCACTGAAACCTGTCCCTCATCATAGCCACACACAAGCCTCCACTGACAGACGGGTGATGGTCATGCCTGAGGTGCACCGGGCCGGAGCTGAGCCTGGGTCTCCCGCAAGAACGGAGAGAACTCCATCACTGACTCACCACTGCCTTTAGATATCAGTAGCACTCCCCAAGTTGTGACACCCACACGTGTCTCTAGACTTTGCTAAATGCCCCGAGAAGAGAGGGAAAATTGCTCCCAGTTGAGAACCACTGGGTTCAACTGATGAAGCTCTTAAAAGCCCTAAATTGGAGGCAAAATTGGATTATGTCAGAAACATAAAGCCCTTTGCAAATCTGAAGCAGTTAAGAGCTGTTACAAAAGGTGAGTTTACAGAAACATTGGTCTGGCCATAGTGCACAGGATAGATGGGAGAAGGGACATCCAGAATCAGGGGAAGCAGGCAGCAGAATTGGCAAGGACGAGTCAGAGCCAACAGTAGGCTTGTTAAAGGAAAACAAGGCTTGGTCAATGAATGCCTATGGGAATGCCAAGATGACAAGCATCGGAAGCTGTGATGATTTCCTTTAGACAAGATAAATACAGCATGAGGGTAAGACCTTTAGAGGGTATGTCCGGCAGGCCAGGGAAAAGGACTAGAGCCTGGGTGAGTGAAAAACCTAGTCCTTCAAGGCTTGACTTCCATGAGAGAGCTCTAGAAATTGGAGAAACACAGATGAGACGCAGTCCCTGTGCCAAAAGAGCACAAAGTCCACAGAGGAAAAGAATAAAGTCACACTGTAGGGGGACCTGTACTTGTTCAAATGTTTGAGTCTGCAGGGACCAGACGTAGATGGGGCAGGGCTCACGTCTAGCTCCTCCCCTTCTGCGTGCCCAGTGCCTAGCACAATGCCTGACACATAGTAAGTGTGCACTAGCCAGTGTGCTCTGCCCTCTGTGAAATGCCTACTGCATGCCAGGCACTGTGGTTAACCTTTTGTGAGCAGCCTACTGGGTGTTGGGCATTGTGCTCAGTCTCTGTGAGAAGCCTACTGTGCACTGGGCACTGCTCGGCATGTTGTGTGAAGCCTCTCACGCCAGGCACCATGTTGGACACTCTGAAGCATCTCCTTCGCCCATCATGAACGTATCGGTGATGGTTAAAGCTGTGCCACAGGTGAGTTATCACAGAAAGAGCATTCAGAAGGAGACAGCTGAGCGAGCCAAAGATCCAACTGCAAATGGAAGTCACAATAAAGCAGAATTAATTTCTGGCAAGGTCAAAGGGTTTCTCTCCTAGAACAGCCCTACTGGAAATCTTCCACCACTCCAGAAATTCATCACTGATCCGTGTGGGTGGGAAGCGAAGAGGTGGCATTCATAATGAAAGGGCAACGGGTTGAGGACAAAGGAAGGACAGATGCAAAAGTCTTGGATCAGCAATTCCAAAATATCTTGCTGCCAAATTTGGCCCAAAGAATCCCTTAGCTGGGCCTATTTGTGTTTGTTTTTTAAATTAGCCGAGATTTATGGCGGCAGAATGCAGACCTAGGAATCATTGCATTTGGCCCTCTGCCCCCACCCTCTCTGTCTTTGTAATTATGATTCCAGTGCACTCAGGGTTGCAGTCTGCTGGCCTACAGCACCTTCACTCTCTGGTGGTGAAGGTACACGTGGGGCTTCACAGGACACACGTGTGCAGATGATCACTGTGAGGCTGGAAGTGAAGCTACTACTGTGGATGACCCTTGGCAATGGGCTGTATTTGGGGTATGACTTGAGGTCTTGGCAGCTCAGAGAAGTTGAGGGAGGTGGCTGGTCACAAACTCAGACTGGCTGCTCTGATGTCCCTGCTCTTTGCCCTACCCCAGAGAGGTTCCTGATAGCACCACCGGCCAGATTCCTTTCAGGCTTTCTGAAATTCTTACAGTTGGATAAACACACACAAAAAAACCAAACTCATTGCCATTGAGTCGGATCCGACTCAGAGTGACCCCTTCTGGGTTTCCGAGGCAGTATCACTAGGGAAGTAGATTGCCTTCCTTCCAAGGAGTGGCTGGTGGGTGCCTTAGGCACTACGCCACCAGAGGAGGGTAAATCCAGCTCCCGGGCTTAGCCTATTTGTTCCTGCTCTTGGAGCTCAGACTGTTCCTGATTCTGGGAGTAAGGCAACATGATGTAGGAAGGGAAAGGGTTTGGGAGTTTGGTCCCCGGCAGCTTACAATACTTTGCTTTGTCTTCTCACTGTTTAGAATCTCTGCTGAAGGTGTGGACATCGTTTTGGATTGCCTCTGTGGGGACAACACTGGGAAAGGTCTCAGCCTTCTCAAACCACTGGGAACCTACATTTTATATGGTGAGTGTGACAGAGAAACAGGAGCATGACCGCAACAGGGAACACTGCACAGGTACCTACAGAGAAAAACCCTGAACAATAAACTGTGGTGGGAAGTGGGATTAAACCCACTGCCATCAAGTTGATTCCGACTCATAGTGGTCCCCATGGTATATCCGAGGCTGTAAATCTTTACGGAAGCAGACTGCCTTATCTTTCTCCCGTGGAGTGGCTGGTGGATTCAAACTGCCAACCTTTTGGTGAGCAGCCAAAAGCTCTGACCACTACACTACCAGAACTCCTTGCGGATACCTGATGATGGGGGTCAACTCACCACTATTAGAGTGCTCAGGTATTTTCAATAGTGGCCACATATTTGGGGATCTTTGCAGACAGATGTACAATGATGATGATGGTGACTATTATTATTAAAATCAGTGATAAGAGAAGCTATGAGAGTCAGTGCACCATGTAGGGATACTGGATGTGGCTAACGTGAGTAATGCAGATAAATGATTTCTTTCCTTAATATTTACCAGAAATTCTATTTTTTGCTCCAATTCCAGAGAGTCATTTTGGTGGAATTAAACTTGATCAGCTTACAAGTAACTAATTTATTATATTGATTGTTTGATTACTAAGTAATTGAAGCCTGGGACTGAGACACCTGAGTCCTCACTGCATAAAACCAGAAGTGCTGGTCTACTGACTGCCTACTAGCTCACCTGAACTGGCAAATGAAGTTTAAAAGATATATTTGTGTTTTTTCTTCTTTTTTTCCTTCATTAAATACTAGTACTCTGAGAAGGATTGTTTTCTTCCAAATATTTGGAGATAAGGCAGGAAAGTTGTTGAAAAGTCATCAATATAGCATCTGAATATTCCCAACACTGGTAAGAGCTTTCTTGTACCCAAAAGATACTCACAAAGGGATCTCTTCCAGCCACATGAGCATCTTAGGGAATCCTTCCCAATTCTACCTCCCATCTACCCTCTGAATACTGATTCATTGAATTTACATATCCCGCTTTCTCACACCATTCGTCTCAAATGCCTTTTACCTTTTGCCTAGACATCTTTGGGAGTCTCTGAGTGGTGCAAATGGTTAAGCAGTAGACTGCTGACCAAAAGGCTGATGGTGAACCCACCCAGAGGTGCCTGGGAAGACAGGCCTGGCAGTCTACTTCCGAAAGGTCCCAGCCTTGAAAACCCTATGGAGCAGTTCTGCTCTGTACACAGGGGGTCCCTGTGAGTTGGAATCCATTCAGTGCCAATTCAAGACAACCAGAGATCTTTGGAGACGATGCAGTAGTCACACCATGTCCTTGGCTTCCGGACCTATCTTCAGCTTCACTTCCCTTCTTCAATACTCATTTCTTTCTAACCATCTAAACTGTAACTCAATCCCCTCCGCACCTGAGTGGCCAGCCCCAGCTTCTAAAACCCCAGTCCAGGTCAGAGCCCCAGGCCCCATCCTTTGCCTGAGGACTGAATTCAGATACATAAAGTAGGCTCACATAGGCATTTTCCATGTCCAAGAATAGACCAGAAGGACATTTCAGCAGCTTATCATTGTATTAAAATATTACTCTAAATCAGTCTTTTTGCTACATGCCCTCTTTCCCAGAGTGATAAAATACTCACCCTGAGAAACAATACTTTCTCTTTGACCCAGTGACCCCTAGCTGAAATAGTCAACTGCTACCACCCTCCTTTCCCCTCGGTTTTCCAAGGCTGGGTTAGATTCCTTTTCCAGCTCTCGCCAGTTACGGATAAACAACTGCCACTCTTCTTGAGGGAGCTCTGGTAGCATAGTGCCTAAGGCACTTGACTGCTAACCAGAAGGCCGATGGTTCAAACCCACCAGCCACTCCTCGGAAAGAAGATGGGGCAATCTACTTCCGTAGTGATACTGCCTCGGAAACCCAAGGAGCAGTCGCTATGAGTCGGGTCTGACTCAACGGCACATAACAACAACAACAACAACAACTCTTCTTGAGTAACAAGAGATATTTAGATTCTAATTAGCAAACTTGATCTGGGAATCCTCCATTTGCAGGTTCATCCAACATGGTGACCGGGGAGACCAAGAGCTTCTTTAGCTTTGCAAAATCAGTGAGTATCCTACATGGCAGTGTGCCACGGTGGTGCATCAGTTTGCATGTTGTAAGCGCTTCTTTGTTAGATTCATTGACCTAATCTTGTTTGTCCGTCATCTGCATCATTCATTTGCCATGAAGCCTACATGCCTGCCCTGCTCCATGATAAGTGGGCAGGGCTATGACTGGGCTGCTCTGGTCTAAATGAAGCAGAGATGTGGGAGTGGCAGTAAAGAGTGTTGGCGTTTTTAATCACTGCTCGAAAATGATGCTAGTGCATTTTATTTGCCTTGGGAGAAGGCCAGTTTTCAATTTGTCCACTTACTGGCCACGTCTCTGGGATACTTAAGATTCTTCTGTATCCCTGACTTATTGAATTGTGTCTGGGAAGGATGGCAGGGGATCTGATGATTTCAACAAGCTCCTTAGGTGATGTTTAGACAGAGTCAAGTTGGTCCACCACTATGATAGGGTCTGAATATGATGCCAACTTGCTCTGCTATTGAGAAGTCACTTCCCCGGACATTCACCCCACTAGGAATAGCTCAGATTAACATTCTCACCTGGAGCTCCACTTGCTAGAATTAAGGTACTTTGGGCTGGGATGTTGATTTTTAGCCCACAACAACAGGGACTTGCTACTTCTGGGAGGTGCTTGCTTTTATTGCTACTCCAGCCTTTATGCAGCCTGGATTCATTCACTTTACCAGCATTTTCTGAACACTTGCTGTTTGTGGCACCGAGGCAGGCATTGGGGCATCACAGTAAAGGAAGTAGGTACACCTTTGGCCCTGATGGTGCCTACATTCTAATGACAGCAATAGCCCCCCCCCCCCAAATAAAACAGAATATTGTGACTGAAAATGGTTATAAAATGTCTGAAGGGGATAAAGGTAGGGTGATGGGCCAGAGGCCTTCTGAGCAATGTGGTCAGGGAAAGCCATATTAAAGGGTTGGAATTCATTGTAAGTGCAGCACTGTGGGGTCTTCCAGTGCCCGCTGGGTGCCAGCACTGGGCTCCCAAAGCTTCCCCTCCAAACATTCCTGCATTCTGGAATGGGTAGCGCTCCCTGCCTTTGTGGGATCAGAATGAATGAACCTCCCTTTGCATGAGAGCTTTAAGATCCAGACTCAGCACCATCTCAATTACAGATCTACAGGCAGAGCAAGAAGAGAGATTAAGGTGCTGTCTGGAGCGTGTCCGTTTAACACTAGCTTTGTACCACTCACAGCTGTTTTGTTGCCGTGACTGTAATTAACGGGATGTGACAGACTGCTGTGGGTAACCACATTGGTCCCAAATTACATACAATTGTAAGGAGTGTTTTCCTTTCTCCCCTAAATGCACAATCACAACACACAGTGTTAATGAAATAATTGCAGCGTATCCATGTTCCATGAAGGCATTCATAAAAACAGGGGCAGGACGGAGGCCGAGTCCTCTGCCTGAAACAGGCGCCAGTTACCAGAACACTTTGTAGCTGTAGGCTGAGAATGAAGACTTTTCTTTTTCAATGGCCCAGTGTTAGTAGGTCAGTTAGAGGGAAATTGGAGCAAGGGCATCTTTTATGCTAAGGAATGGAACATGATTTGTTCTCAGACGTTCTGGAAAGGAATTTTCTTCTCTGCATTCAAGACACTGAGGAATTAAAGGCACACTTGGAACCACGCAGGGTTTTTCCACTCTGTTATCTTAATTGCCCTCTACCTTAAAACTCCCACAGAGTCTGTGTGCCATTTGATTTCAGACCTTAACAATGATGACAATTAACAGGTGAGGCGAACATTTAGAGACTGGCCTCACTTCTGATCCAGAGAACTTATTCACTAAATCAAAAGCATCCCTTCCGACTGAAGGTGATAATAAGAGAAGTTAACTTTTATAGAGCACCTCCTCTGTGACAGACACTGTTCTAAGTATTTTATGTGCTTTAGGACATTTACTCCCCAGGAGGTGCAGTGAGAAAACAGCACAGAGAGGTAAAGTGAGTTGCCGAAAGTCACACAGCGGGTCAGTGGCAGCATTGGAACTCAGCTCCAAAACGCTCTTAACCACAGCTGAGTGGCAGTTGTAGATTTGGCAAGCATGCATTCCACAAACATTCACTGAGGTGTTGCAAATACCCTGAAACTCAAGTTAAATGATGACATTTTTCCTGCCTTTGTATTTGATGGCAAACAGCCCATAGTCAATGCATTGCTCTTGTGGAGCCAGCCCTCAGGCTCTCCTGGAATATACTTTGGGGAAGACCTTCCTCATTCCTGTCTTCCGCTGTCTTCCTCACACTTATTTCCCCACATTTGAAAACAAAATCCAAATCTTTTAGTGCAGTGAGCCTCCTCGGCCTTTTCCAGAAAGCAGCAGGATATAAATGAACCCAGATGACATACATCTTCCAGATGATCTGCATCCTTATCCCGCTTGCCTTCTGTATTGAAGCTGATACGAAGCACTTCACCTTGTAGAACTCTCTACAAACTGGAAGTCTGAATTCCTAAGCTACTACCAGAACCAAATGGACAGCAATTAGAACAAATCCATTGGATCACGGTCTCTGGAGGTGGTTGCTGGATTCTTTACTTGTTTTGATGTCTGGCGGTGGGTGGGTGGGTGAGGGACTGAAAAGAGACAGCCACACTCACCAGTTGTGTGTGTCACACCCAGGACTTCTTTAGAGCTGGGCTCCCCAACCTCAGCGCTGTTGATGTTTGGGTTGGGTAATCCTTTGTTGGGCGGGGCTGTCTGGAGCACTGTAGGACGTTTAGCAGTGTACCTGGCCTCTCCCCACACAGCACCCTCCTCCCCCCGATTCATCACACCCAAAAATGTCTCCACATATTACCAGATATACCGGAGGGTGGGCGAGGAATAATGGCCCCCAGTGAAGAACCACAGACTGAGTCCCAGTCCTCAGGCTTCCTCATTCTTCCATGCTGTTTTACTGTCTTAGACACCCCTACTCTTCTTTATTTAATGGGCTTCTCCCTGTATTTCCAGGTTTGGCCTTGTTGTTTACCCCTAGGAGAGCTTCTCCGTGGTCAGAATCTGTCACCTCCGTGTTGTCACCACCAACCTTTGTAACTTACCTGCCAGTCTACTCCCTTCATCAACCTATCACCACCACCATCATTTATGAGCCCAGTGCTTTACACTTAATTCTCCCAGAAAACCCCAGGGGCAGTAATCTCCCACCACTTAGCCACTGGGGAATGCTGAGACAAAGAATAACAGCGAGCAGGCAACGGAAGCAGCATTCCACCCCAAGTGGTTGAGCCCCATAGCCAAGGATCCTAAAACTGCACCTTAATGTTTCCATTGCAGGGGCCTAGTCATTGCTTTTGTAAAGGGCTCTCTCTTCCATCTAGATTCTGAGCTGCGCATAACCACCACTGTGTGTTTCCGGTGTATTCATAGCAGTGCCTACCAAAACAGATGCTTAAAAAACAGCCCAACAAGAGCTAACTTCTGGCCAGTTGACATCTGCCCAGCTGTAGCACCTGCCTCCCCTCGCATTCACTGATGATGTTGGCGCTGTTAGTGTTTGGTTCCTCCTGACCTGGTGCCATTTCTTCTTCCAGTGGTGGCAGGTGGAGAAAGTGAATCCCATCAAGCTGTATGAAGAGAACAAGGTCATCGCGGGGTTTTCCCTTTTAAATCTGCTCTTCAAACAGGGCCGTGCAGGCCTCATCCGAGGAGTGGTGGACAAACTCATAGGGCTGTACAATCAGAAGAAGATCAAGCCCGTGGTTGACTCCTTGTGGGCCCTGGAGGAGGTAAGAATGGCATTTTTCTCACGTAAAAAAAAAAAAATTTTCTCTTTTTGTTCAGGTGTATGTGGGCAATCAGACTCAATCTTTTATTAAATGATTTTTCTCCACATTTATTTGTTTTAAATGAGAGTGCTAAGAGTCATTCTTTGTCTTCTAGTATGGGGCTTTAGATGTAAGAAATGCTTTGCTACCTAGTGTCAAACTGCATGTCTCACCGGGCCTGTCTGTTGTGAACCCTTCCCAACAAGGCCACCAAGTTTTCATAGATGTGTAAGATTCACCTTGGTTCAAAGAGAACATTTCAGGGTCATCACATGGTTGTCACGTGCACATACAAGAGATCCTGCGTGGGGAGACTGTGGCTCAGAACGGAAATGATTTGTGTGCTAACCCCAAATGCTTTGAGTCCTTGCAAGACGTTGTTAGCGGTCATGATGGGTGTTGTAATTGCTGAGTTGAATGTTGGACAGTGTCTTTTAAGTGATCTGCCAAAAATTCTAGTATTTGAAAGGATTCCTTGGTCACACAAGGATGAAGAACCCCTAGGTAACCTTTAAGGATACTGACGCATGAACTGGTTATATTGGCTCAGCTGGGACTTACTCAGAGGAAGCAGGGTCTAGAAAATTCACCAGGATACAGCAAGGTTTGGATATTTGGGAAGTCAGACATGGTAGCTATCCATAAGAGAAAATGAAGAGATACGGCCTGGGCTTTAGGAACAATTTAAGTAAGAAATACTTCTAAGTCAGGGTTTTGTAACTTTGGCTTCCAGGAGCCATGAGACTCCTGAAAAAATATCTTTAAATATTTGGGAATATATATTTTTTACATTTGGAAGAGGTGGGGTACTTTGGAATACAAATGCTTTGGGGAGGCTATAGGCATCTTTGGAAAAATCTGTAAACCCTAAGTTCTGTGGAACAGAAAGTGGCTATCCTCCTCGCAATAAAGCTCGTGATACTTGCCAGAAATGGACTAAGTTGGCCAAAATCTGATGCCTTCACTAAGCACAGAAGCCCCTCAGAAGAGCCTTTTGAGGATCATTGTGGAATCCATAGTACTGGTCTTGAATCTGTGACCCAGAGGTTCACCTTCTGGGTGCACCTATGATCTGGATTATCTGTGTAATCCTCTCTAACACTGAATTATCATGGATGGTCTTAAAAAACCCAACCACCAAAAACCTTGTTTCCTTGTATAAAGGTAAGACAAGCCCACTATGGGAAACTCACACATTAACCCAAAGCTTAAGGAAAAACATGCTGTGAGTCCGCATCCCAGAGGTGGATAATAATTTTAACATTTTAGTTTGCTTCCTTTCAGTCTTTGTTCCATTGCAAATGTTTGCAGTGATTCCATTTCTTGCTAAATCAAATCAGAAAATCATGTATGTCTTTTGTTGTGTAATTTCCAAGATGGCTGGCCTGTCATTATAATTTTCTTAAAAATGTGTTTAATTTAATGCATCAGAATATGGTACTTACCATGGTATCTCAGAAGAACAGAGAAGGGCTGAGTTCTCCGTTGTTATTGGGAAAAGAAAAAACTGGGAATAGTCAAGGCAGGGCTAAGAGATTAAATTGTCTAAGGGCAGAGGACATATAATTAAATTCAGTGCTCACATGGGCCCAGCAAATCTGGGTATATTTAATTTAAAGTAAGGTTGAAATCCAAGAAGGGTCCAATTGACCCAGTGGGTCCTTGAAGCAACAGGACTTTCTACTATGGTAATGGTAATACCAAAAAAACCAAACTCACTGCTATTGAGTAGATTCCAACTCATAGTGACTCCCACTGGGTTTCTAAGGCAGTAAATTTTTATGGAAGCAGATTGCCCAGTCTTCCTTCCAAGGAGTGGCTGGTGGGTTTGGACCACCAGCCTTCCGGTTAGCAGTCAAATGCCTCAGGCACTACACCACCTGAGCTCCTAATGGTAATAGAATCACCAAATACTTATGGCGTAACCACTATATACCCAGCACTGTACAGATACTGAGGGTATAGTGGTGAAGAAATGGCCAAGACTCCTGGCTCTCCCGGAGCTCACATTCACTCAGAGGAGTGGAGAGAGGTACCGAATGCTGAAGTGAATAACCACAAATGGGGCATCTGCCAGTTGTGATAAGGACTTGGATAAGTTAGGGTACGTGTTGGTGAGTAAGTAGAGGACTTGGGTTACAGAGAGCAGGGCTTCGTGGTCTCTGTCGCATCGTTCCCCACATTTTTTTAGACAGTTTTTCCTAATCCTCCCCCATGAAAGAGCCTTGTTAGGTATTTTTTTCCTAATCACTCCTCCAATACCATAGATACACAATCTGTCATTTTATGTCCTATGTTTTCTGTGCTTTATACATAAAAAATGGGAGCTCTGGTAGCATAGTGGCTAAGGCACTTGACTGCTAACCAGAAGGCTGGCGGTTCAAACCCACCAGCCACTCCTCGGAAGGAAGATGGGGCAATCTACTTCCATAGTGATACCGCCTCGGAAACCCAAGGAGGGGTCGCTATGAGTCAGGTCCGACTTGATGGCACATAACAACAACAACAACATACATAAAAACAGGTTTTCACTCCCTCAGCTACTCTCTCTCCCTTGAAACCAGCCCACTTGTGGTCGAGGCAGTTCTGGCTCATGGTGACTCCAAGTCTCCAGAGGAGGACTGGGCTCCTCGGTTCCCAGGGCTGATTTTTCAGAAGCAGATCACCAGGCCTTTCTTTTGAGGCACCTCTGGGTGGATTCGAACGTCCAGCCTTTTGGTTAGCAGCCAAGCACATTAACCATGTGCACCACTCAGGGACCTACTTCCCCAGTACTCTGGTTCCCTAGTGCCGCTCTGACAGGAATACACCACAAATGGGATAGCCTGAACAAACAGGAGTTTATTCTCTCACAGTTCAGGAGGCTAGAAGTCCAAATTCAAAATGCCAGGCTCTAGGGGCTGGGTGAAAGCCCCTCAACCTTGGGGTCCAGCTCTGCCTCCTGCCTCCAGCCCACTGGAGCAAGAGGCGTTTCTTCACTCAGACAGCTGCTAGCTGCTGAGACTGAGAAGCCCCAAGGTTGACAGGTAAAAAGGCACAGTCCCGATGTTACCAAACCACATGGCAGGCTATTAATTTAAGTCCATTGAAAGTCCCAAGGTCAGCACAGCATGGCAGGCTGCTGAGCAACTACATGGCTACATGCAGGGTCCAAGCACGCCACAAGCTTGAGACCATTCCCAAAGCTGCTTCTTATATACGGGAAGCAGGCCACATACCCAAAGCAGCTACTCAACTGCTTGGGGGAGATCCCACCATGGAGTTGACTGCCAGTCTCATCATAGGGAATAACTACCACCAGCTGCCCAGCCACTCAACCAGGCCCAGACAAGTTGACACACAAACACAACTGACACCTAGCCTGTTTGATATTAATCACTGTATTTATCACTGGTTGAAATTATCTTGTTCATTCATTTGTTAACCTGTTTAAATTCTTGTCTCCTTTCCACCAGAATGTAAACCCTCTGTGAGCAAAGGCCTTGATCACATTATTCAAGGCCCCTGTACCTGGACAAAGTAGGGGCTTGATCAATACTTATTACATGAGTGTCTTGTAATAAGTCACTCCACCAACATACAGAACAATGGCTACTTGGATATGTTCTATGTTTGACAGTAAATATTCGTTGAATAGATAAATGAATGAATAAGCTATACTAAAAGAAGCTGTTACTTTAAGAGAGGGTTTCTCAATCTTGGCCCTACTGACATTTTGTACCAGACAATTCTCTGTGGTGGGGGCTGTCCTGTGCATTGTAGGATGTTTAGCAGCCTTTCTGGACTCTACTCACTAGATGTCAATAGTACCTCCTTCCCCCAGTTGTGGCAACTGCAATGCCATGTCCCCTAGGGAGGAGGTGAGACAAAGTCACCCCCACCCCGATTGAGAACGACTGCTTTAAAAGAAGACATGGGATGAGATACCCACCAGCCAAATAGGAATTATAGCGCCCTTGCCAGCTAGCCCTCCACTGAGGGACACAGACGCCGGCTGCCTGTTTGCCAACAAAAGCTTCCGCAGCCACTCATCAACAACACCCACCGACTTTCTGAGGGCTCTCTTCTGCAATATTTACAGATATCTGTTTAAGAGCTACAGTTGGGCCAAACAGCTATTTATGAAGCCCACGCAGCTCTTCTGGACTTGAAGAGAGTAGAGCGTGGTTATTAGCTGGGAACCTGAAGAGGAGGAGGATAATGATTCCCCCCCCCCTTCTTTGGTAAATGATTATACAAAATAGCTTTTCAGGCCAACTCTATAATTTCATCTGTGGACTATAAAGCTCGTAGGAATTAAAAAAGAAATCTCCCGTGTTCTCTGTGCCTTCAAACTAGAAGATTTAGGAATTTCAGAGGCTCTCAGGGTTTCTTTTCAGTCATCCATCCATGACTTTATTATAAATTTAATTCACAGAACAGAGTAGGTGCACTGCAGCACGGGGTTTGCCTCCGATACTACACTGCAGTGGTATGTGCATTAGAAAAGTTAATCTCTCTGCAGCGGGTGCGATGTTATGCTGAGCTGACTCTGATTCACGGCAATCTGAGGATAACAAAATGGAAAGTTGTCTGGTCCTGCCCCATCTTCGTGATGGGTGGGATATGTGCATGTTCCAGCACCACCCTGGACGGTGTTGCAATCTAGACAGTTTTCACTGGCTGATTTTCAAAAGAAGGTCACCCAAGACTTTCTTTCCAGTCTGTCTTAGTCTGGAAGCTCTGCTAGAAACTGTCCACCATGGGTGGTCCTGCTGGTATTCAAAATACTGGTGGCATAGTTAGGTAATGTCTCCCAAAAAATCACATCTACCCAGAACCTTAGCAGGTGACCTAATTTAGAATAAGGGTCTTTGTAGATGTATCGAAGGTAAGGATCTTGAGAGGAGATCATACTGGATGAGGGTGGGCCCTAGATCTATGAGAGTGTCCCCATAAGAGACTGAAAAGGACACAAGTCA